AAAGGAATAATAAAACATTTTGTCACCTCATTCTCAGAGAGAAGGCCAATAAGCTTATTTCCTAAAATGTGTAAGTATTCCTTCAAGTTAAGGCTGACGATGGTGTCTGGTGTGGCACACAGTAGTACAAAACTAGAAGTGTGAGTGAGTCAGAGTATCTGGATTGACGGATGTGACTAACACTCACCCCTCTTTGTCCCCAGAGCCTGTGGTAGTGGTTGTTAATTAGCCTAACACAGAAACTGGTAATGAGCTTGATAACATCTCTATTTTGGACTATAGCACTGTTTAGTTTGGATTTGTCAGTTGAGACATTTCCAGAATTTCTGTCCATCCTCCTTATGGCCTTTTGTTTTGTCATGTCAGGGAGCGCACAAGAGCGCATAATCAAGAAAAAAGTTCACCCTCTGGTATTTTAGTGCTGTTACATCATCAGCCTGTGATGTTCAGCACAATCTAGGAGTAACATTTGTGTTTTTTGACAAACTGTAGTGTTAAACTCTGTGTTAAACAAATAAAATCCCAGATCCAAAAACGTTATATACAAAATCATAGCAATAGAATTTCTATGGATAATCCATAAAAAATTAATTCATCAAGCTGCTGTATAAATTTAATAGTTCAACATTTTGAGAGATATGCCTATTCTCCTTCTTTCTGAGAAGAGATTTTATGTTTTCCTTTCACATATTGAGACTATGAACAAAAAGAACCTCATCTTATGTGATATATACTGAAAGAAAATGGCAGCCACCAGTGAAAATGTTTTTTCAACACAGTGTGTTCTCCGGACAGTGAAACATTAGATCACCATCGACACAAGTCAATACAGTATCGATCAGTGGCACTATCACATTATCACAATGTAGCTTTATGAATACAGTATCTGCTGTCACAGCAGACATTCCCATGTTAGATTACAGGAATGTCTGTAGTAAAATCCTGCATATTTGTGAATGCGGGTACAATTTGAGGTTATTGTCCACCAGCGGCCCCTGGGGACCTCCATGCCTTGCTGCCGACACTGGCACAGAGCTTCAGATGAAAGCACTGAGCATTAGATCAAAACAATCGACACACCTCTGACAGTATGATTACAACATTCGAAACACAAGTTTCATTCTTAGTGGTTTCTGAGATATGAGAAATACTTTCAAAGTGAATTAAATCATGTGACACCACTATTACCATTTCAACATGGATGTGTTGTTCACAATGTAGCATTAACAGGGGAAATAATAGTGTGTTCCCTGGATGCATCAGTAGTGAGTTGTTCAGATTTTAATGCATTAGGGACACAGGACACGTACCTAGCAGCATCACTGTTGTCTATTTCTTGCCTTATTGTTTTCAGAAACATATTTTAGCGTGACGTTAAGATGTAAAAGTTTGTGAACCGGTGACCATGTTGGAAACAGCCAAGTGAAAACCAAGCACCGGCTGGACTAACTGTCTCATTTTACAGCTAAACAGTACACTAAAACATGTTTCTGGAAACATCTGAGGTGACAAATAGGCAGTGTAGTGACAGAATCTCTTCATATTCAGTCAGCGGTGCCTAGTTTGACAGTTTGACCCCAGTTTATGGGCAGTGATGGACATGGTTGACAGCTGCAAGACTCTAGCTTTAAAGGGATAGTGCACCCAAAAATGAAAATTCAGCCATTATCTACTCACCCATATGCGGAGGGAGGCTCAGGTGAAATTTTAGATTCCTCACAACACTTGCGGAGATCCAAGGGGAGAGTGGGTAGCAACACAACTCCACCTAATGGAGGCTTACGGTGCCCCAGATTCAAACGTCCAAAAACACATAATTGAAACCACAAAATATCTCCATACTGCTCGTCGGTAGTGATCCAAGTGTCCTGAAGCCCCAACATAAAAAGTTGTTTGGAAAAACGTCAGGACTTTGGCTCTCCATACTGCCATGGATAAAACAGTCTAAACAAAATGGCAAAAACTGTGTATAAAAAAGACATAATGATAGTTTTAAATCCCCTGACAGGACAAAGGATCAGCCCTCTAACAGTAATTAATGTTGTGTGTTTTTCGTCACATCAGACAGGTGAAATATTGCAGACAGATTCAAGTTTAACAGTGAAATAAGCTAGCTGACAGATACACTGTAGCAGCCATCCTCAGAATAAATCCCATTTTTATTTAAAGTAAAGGTCCAGATTCCTTTCCTTTAGAAAATTAAAAGTATTTTGTTCAGCCTTGTCAAGTTTATATTATTACAGGGATTTTTCAGTTTTGCTCCTTCAATGCAAATTCTCACTTTATTTGCAGTGGCATTAGTCGCGTAATATATATATATAGATATAATCTTGAGAGACAAAGAGAAAAAAAAGATAAAGTGTGAATGTAGGCAGCAGTGAAGAGCTCGCACTGGGAATTGAACCTCTCACACTGAGTTCACCCATCTCATATACAGTACTGTACAGTCTGTAGTTACACAAATGACCTGCTCTCTCCAGGAAACAAACACCTAGCTACACAAACTCTACCACAGGATTATTCACTGTTACACCGCATCACACACACACAAGCACCCAAACGCACCATATACACATGAGCAATGATGCACACATGCGGATACGCACTCCAGCTCCTCGACAGACACAAATAGACACACACACAGATGGACACACACACACACACACACAGATGCAGCAGGACGCAAAACAAACACACACAGGGGTTTGGTGTCCTAGTTTCCATCTGTGGAGAAGCTATTCTCTCTCTCTCTGGCTCGCTCCTTCACTCACAAACTCATCTCGGGGGGGGGGTCTTACTGTGGTCATGTGACACATTGCTGCTGTTGTTGCAGTTTGTGTGTGTGTGGATAAGAGCAGGCGTTTGTATCTGCATGTGTGCATCGCTGCTCATGTGCATGTCTTTGATTGTATGTATGGTTTTGTTTGAGCACAAGCCGCCTATATGTATGTCCATCGTGTGTGTGTGTGTGTGTGTGTGTGTATGAGAGAGAGCTCACTGTCAGGCTGCTCTCTGCCTGCCTACGGTTCCTCCTCTCCACTGCTTGTTTCACCATCAGAGTGTGATCTAATACAGGGATTACTTTGGGATTAAGTGAGTCTCTTATAAAATAACAGCTCACCGCTCCATATCTCCACAACACTGGCCATTTGTTCTGCGGTATCAACACACTCTAACAACGTCTCACAAAGGTGAAACACAATAACTGCTCCAGCAGGGAATGAAATGTGCTTAGAAAGGAGTACACCAACAGGAAAATTGACAGGTGAGACAATCTACCCAAAACATGGTGTAATCCTTTAAGTCAACCAGGAAATTTCACTCGCCAGTTTCATTTTTCAACACCTGAACAAATTAGAATTTATTTACTTTTTTTCCCCCTCTTTAATCAGAACTGGCAGTCCTATCAGCCACAACCAGAGTGAGTAAACTGTGATGTTTGGTTTGTGTTGATTATTAGCAACATGAATTCTAACGCTGAGAGATGTCGTTTAGGCATTAGGATAATTAAATATGAACATAGAGCTTGATTTATGCTAATTTTAGAATACTTAAGCAGACATCAAAGAAAGGAAGCTATTAATTTGTGTTTTGGGGTAAGTGGCTCCACAGTACAGACATACATTTACAGTCCATGTAGAGAAATGCCATGCAAAAGGCCAAATATAAAAGAGACATTATGAAGTGTCTTATTTATGCTGCAACCCCTGGGTCTTCAACAGGGGGTCTGCAACCCCTAGGGGGTCCTCAGAGTTACTGCAGGGGAGCTGTCAAATTTAATTAATTAATTTTTTTCTTTCTTTCTTTTTTTTTTTTTAATTATTTTAAATTTGAAATAAGTTTGAAATACACATTGATATGAATCCAATATATTATTAGCAAAGATAAATTGACCTATTAATAGAATTTTTTTTTTAAAAAAAAAGTTACAGTACACATTGATGTTAGGCTAACACTGAGTCCTTGTGTAATCATGTTCGCTAGCTAATGCTGGAACATGATGATGATGTGGTTAGGTGCTGCACCTGTCCATAACAGCGAGGCAAACTACTTAGCTAACATTTACGTATTACTGCAACATATTGGCCAATTATCTGTATCATTATTTTAAGTGTAGGGACATTCTTGTGAGTCACAACGGATTGTTTTGTAACTTTTCCAGCAAGAGACCCTGAAATACTGTCCATCTCAGACATGATGTAATGAATCGGCCAAAAGTTAGTATTTTAATAGCTTAGTATTGTATGCACCATAAAAGGGTATGTTTTGGCACTTTAGGCTGCTCTACATGTTATTGTAGGCCCATCTTAATATGCAACTCAGTTTTATTCAACATATTTAGTAGTGGGTCCTTGGCCTAAAAAACACTGAAGACCCCTGCTGCAACCTATTCAATACAAGTGTGAAGCAAAAAGTTTTTGTTGTATCGTGGAATAAATTAGATCAAGAAAAGTCAGATGCTCATTTGGCATTACGATTGAACAGTTTTGAATATTGCACAAGTTTAAATCCAGAAACAGATACGGAATCAGCACATGTTCTGCTTTATTTAAAACTGTTTTAATCAATATTTTTATGTTAACAGTGAATCAAATGACAATGTAATATGGGAAGTGTTGCTCCTAGTGGTGAACCCCTGGAACACTTGACAGTGTCAGGTAAAAATTGGTCTCAGGTAATAATAGTCTCAGCTCTATGGAGCTTTTTACAAAAACAATTTCTAAGGAGAAGTTCCCCAGTGACACTGTACAGATGTGCAGGTACACTACTAATCCCACTGTTTGCATTGGGTACTCTGATGATTTTGCTTCAATACTGGGGTGACACAGAACATGTTATAAATCACCATTAAGCTATAATTGCATACAATAAAAAAATATTAAGGAATTTTATTTTGCTATAGTCCTAATTAATACCTATTTGGTACAGGGAACTATGGTATAGAAAACATAAAAACAAAATTAAATAGCGATAATTTAAAAAACCGTACGGCAGACAGGGTCGTCGTCATCAGGTCAGAGGTCAAACTCCGTCAGCAGCAGGTCACACAGCAGCTGAAGGGCAGGTTCAATAACGTTACGTCGCACTTGATCTTCTGCCAGCGAAAATGTCGTGGAGATGTTTCAACCAGCCATGGCTTGTTCTGGATAGAATATTCAACCACCCAGCAGGGCATGAATGTTACACCGTCCGCGCTACCGACTGTCGGTTTCCAGAAAACGCCGACATGCTTGTATCAAGGATGGAGTCCGAGCTGTGGGACGAGTAAGTGTGGCCACACCTTCCTGTTACCTTTAGCTAACGGTAGCATAGCCATAGCGTTAGCACGGCGCTCACCATCCATGGAGAGCAGGCGGCGAATTTTAAATAAATGACGTATCTTATTTAACGTTAGCATCAAAGGCCAGTTTACTTTCTGAACTGCGAGACAGGCCACTCATATTTTCTTGTATGTTACTTTTGACCAATATTACCGGGGAAAGATTGTCTTTGTGTGTAGAGGGAGGTGTGCTAGCTAGCTGGTTGACAAGAATAAAGCTAACGTTAGCCAAAGTAATGTAAAACCGCCTAACAGCGCTGTTAGCCTGAGTCAGAAAATACTTTGTGACAAGGGGTGAATTACACTCTCCACATTTGCCAGGCTGACCTGTTTTTAAATACTGTACATTTTCTTGATTTCTAACCAGCTCCAGCACCTCTTGGTAAGCTTATTCTTCATCTATATTAGGATTTAGTTTTAGTCATTCCTCTTCTTCCTTTTATGTTTTTAATTGTTAAAATACTTATAGATGTGTGGCGTGATATAGAGGTCTCGAACCAGGGTCTATTTTTGTAGCAGCACACAGGGCCGCTGCTTGACATTGATTTCATCACAAATGGTACAAATCAGAAAATATTAATAATACTACTAATAAAAATAATAAAGAAAATTATAGAACAGACAAACACACATACATACATGTGTGTGCAGTCTTTTTAATAAAATAAACAGAAGAATGATATTTTTATTGTAAGTATTACCATTATACACATAAAAGAAATACAGAACTGTCCCTTTAGTCACATGTAGCAGGAGAAGAGTCACAAAACTTTCCAAAATCTGCATATATGTTCCACTACAGAGGAAATTTTCAGCAGTTGCGGGAGGCTCTTGCACACATGTCTGCATTACCTGGCTGCAAGGTTGTTCATTATATTGTTAATTACTTTATTGTTATTGCAGACAGCTTCTGCATTGATGCTGATGACAGCAAGACCAAAGCTCAGCAGATGCAACCGATGGTATTAGTAACTGTAACAATGACTTAAAAGAGCGCAATGGCTAGTGAGATGTGGCGAGTGCGGCTCAAATCGTGTTGTGTCTGAAAGGGTCTTAACTGAAAGAGTTAATGCAATATGTATAATTAGGATTGATGATAATCATGTTAGGCTTTTGTGGTGCCCTATGCACAGCGCGTGATATGCATGCCCTTGGCGGCAGTGCTGGTAGCACATGTAGAAAGCTCCTGTTGCACTTCCACAGCCAGTTACATTTTAGTTTTAAAATGTTTTCAATTCCTGCCTTTCTGCATGTGTAGTTTCAGTCCAGAGGAGAAGGATCCTGTATATCCAAATCATCAAGAATGGTGGTTTTCTACTCTTTCTTCCCCTCTGGATTTGCCTCTACTGTTCAATGCCTCACTTCGATCCCCTGCAACATCTTGGTCTCCACCCCACAGAGCTCTAAGGACCAGGTTTGTGCCCCCAAATCAGTGGAGAACCAGGAAAGCTGCTGCATGGCAGCCCTATAAGACCAGACAATACCATGGATGGAGACCATCTGTTTCCATGCAAGGCGGGTGTGGCTGCAACTGTGGCCCAAGAAGATACAGACAAAGGAGATGGAGACCAAGAAGATGCCAGCCAGAAAGATACAGGCCAAGAGTGACATCTTCGGAGCATCTTCCTGTGGCCATCCAGCCTACAAAGTGGTACCAGGTTGTCGGGAGTATGCAGTGCAGCAACTGCAAAGCCCAGGGGAGGCACCAAATGACGTCTTGGATGTGTCAGAGATGCGAGGTTCCACTTTGTCTGAAGCCATATAGGAACTGCTATACCAAGTGGCACGGTCAGGGATGTGAGCTCAGAGGGTGGAGGTTGCCTTTCCAGGAGGAAAGGCAGTGAAAGTTTATTCTCCTGTGATGCGATGAGTTCTTGTGTTGAGCTGTGGAACCTCAGTTAGCCTGCAGGTTTTTCTTGTTTATCCTTTACTCTCAAATCTGTTGTTAACTTGCAAGATGCTGAATATTGTGATGGAGAGTATTGCTTTATGTTTACATGAGGGACATCACTTATTTTGACTTTTTCTGAGTTCCTTAAAGATTATTTATAACAAGAAAAAATCTCAGAAGTTGCAAAGGAGAAAATGTTTTAGGGGGTGCACAACTGGTGTGCACTCCATTGTTACTCATATATTCCCTCTGTGATTAGCCTATATAGATGTTAGGGAAAACGGTTTCAATAAAGTTTTCCCGTTTCTGTAAATGTTTGTTTCTGATTAAATTGCAGAGAAGTTGTATGTGGTTGTTTTTGCATTATTTCTGTAATACATCTTGGAAGGCCCAATACTGTAATGAAAAGGGAAACAGAACATAAATATTCAGAAGTCGGACAGTGTAATGGGATGTCAATGAGATACATACAACTTCCTCATGTTTACCAGCTGCAAGATGACGGCATGTATTAAGTTTTAATATGTAACTCCCCGTGTATGATAAAGAACATATCCCTACTGTACCAACATTTATGTTAAAAGAAAGAAATATGAAATGTCTTATTTGTGATTGGACACTTCAGGTGACGTGTCTGTGGTATTTTTTAGATCAAGGCTATTGACTAATTTTCTTAACAAATGACCCATGAGATTTTGCTCTCCATCCAATGTTGTTGCATGTTCTGCACTCCAAACAGGAATATTCCTGTCGACTGTATTGTGTAACTGCAGCAGCTCTGGATGGAAAAAAAACACCCAGACTATTTTTGACCATTTATACTGCAAAAAATACAGCAAAGCTGTTAATATTAGTAGAATTTCAATGGAAATTTCTTTTGCATTAAGTACTTGCAGCATTAGAAATAATAATGATACTCTTTTTGCTTTTATGATTCAATAGTGAAAGCTTTTTATTCTGTCAGTGTTGACCATGGATTATCTAGGTTAATTACTGTCACAGTTCTAAATCTGACTGAAGGAGGCGGTAAGCAGATCTTGAGAATTAATGCTGCACACTATCATCACTGCAGTTTTCATAATTAAATTCAACTTTGGGTTTTGACATTCATTGTATTTGACCACCAGTAGGGGAAGGAAGTATCCAGATGCCTTACTCAAGTAAAAAATAAGAGAATAAGCTTAAGTAAACATACTTCATGAAATATTTTAGAATAACCTCTTTACAGGCATACAGAGACCTCTGCACACTGACGTCTACATCAAATTACTGTAGTGTTACAAACTGGTATTTTATATGGTATTTTTTTTTTTTTGGATAGTAATGTGTAACATTTTTAGCAATGCATTATATTCTCAGACTATAGCAAAAGCATAGCATGTTTAATATTCTGTGGGCCTTTTTCACAGCACACACACACACACACACACACACACACATTTTGACTATTTACACTGGTGCTTCTCCTAATGTGACTTGTCAAACTATTAGAACCTCAACATTGTGACTGAGTAAATTTTATTGGCTACATTTATAGCCTTAACACTTAAAGGGATACAATTTTCAATCCGCTTTGTGTCATTGCCATGTGGGTAATATGTGTAAATGAACTGAGGTAGGCTTCCCTCCATCTTCTAGTGCATTCTAGTAGGTCTAGGTTTTCTTCCTCTTGAGCAAAAGCGAATGTCAGCTCCTTTTCTGGTCATGTAGCACAAATTTTAAAAGTATTTGTGACTTTCACTGCATAGACAGCCTAATTTTATGATAAGACCTCTCTGGCAGTGAAATACTTTTTTGATTGCTTAGACCACTTATTGAGCAAAACTGTTGAACAATTGATAGTTCCAGCTTCTTATGTATGAGAATTTCTTGTTTTTCTTTTTTACATAATTGTAAATGTAATATTTTGGATTTTGGACTTATATTATAATTTCACTTTGGGAACTTGCATGGGCATTTTAATAAACTTTTAATAGCATTTAACAGAGAAAGAAAATGATTACTAGTTGCCAGTTATGTTCCAGCTCTGTGGTGCAAAAAATGTGGAGCAATTTTGTTTTTTTTTTTTGATAAATCAATAGCATTTCTTACACCTTTCCAGAAGTGTTCAAACTCGCTCACAGTATTTTGGATCCTGAAGATGTTCACTGTGGTTTTTCTGTTGACACTGTTACGAGCAGGTTGATTTTTATTCCAATTTAACGCCTGCTTGTGCACCTTTTGACATCAGAAGCGGTTAGATGAAATGCGGGAATTAAATGAAGGAGCTACAGTAATATCCCTGAAGGATGCTTTGCAGTCCCTTTCTATGACTACATAGCAAATAGCCATCACTGCCTGCCTGTAAATGTATGAACAAGTAGACTAGCACTGCAGTGTCGATCTGGCAGCCATCCACCTCGTCGGTCTGGCTGCAGAAAATCACAGATTGGTGGATGTTTTCACCAAAGCTATAATGTCCCACATGAGGCAGTGTTTTGCTTTCTTTGCTGTGTATGTATGTGTGAGTGTGTGTGTGTGTTGAGCACACGTTTTCCCTCTCTCCCTGGTGGTGCTGGGGTGTTTGGCAGGATAAATATAGCTGCGTTGGTGTAAAGCTGTTTTCTCCTCAGCTTTTGTAGCTTTAATCAAAAGCAATCTGGAGGAGGGAGAAATGGAAGGCAAAGGGGGGTGAGAGAGAGGGAGAACAGGAGGAGGAAGGGTAAGAGGAAGAGGGAGAGGTGGGTGGGGAGGGTGGCCGATGCCAGAGTGTTTTATTTTAGCTCTCTTTAAAGAGTCATTGGGGAGTGTTCAGGAGTAATGAGAACCCTGGTGGCTGGAGGAGAGGGACTGACTCTAACCTCCCCTCACTCTCTTCCTCCATCCTCTCTCTGTCTCTTTATTTCCTGCCCAACCTCACTTCCCCTGTCATCCCCTCTTTCTCATTTGGACTCTGATGTCAACACAGGACTGTGACTACGGCTACGTTCACACTGCAGGCCCTCATGCTCCGCTCTGTCTTGCTGGATGAATCCTCGTATCTATTCTAGGATGTAACCCACATCCCTCATCGATATGAACTGACAGCGATGTTGACAAGACGTGTGCACAGAGGAACAGTCATCAAAGACGTCACATTTGTTTTTAATGAATTTCAGTTAGTGTACGTAATAAGTCTAGCTGGCTAGTACAGGCTTCCTTTTCAATGCTGTGTGTAATTGTCTTCTATGATGTCAGTCAGTGAAAGTGCTGTAGATAAGAATTGTTGCAATTCACGAAGAGAAAAATATAGACAAAAGTTTAAGTACTTAAAAAATGAAAACATAAAAATATTTAAAAAAAAAAAAAACACCTTACAGGCATACAAACTTGTCACCTCCTGGCAAAATTCACCATTTTGAATCCACGTTATCTACGTAAGTGTTATGAAATGGGCAATGTGAAGATGTTTCCACAGAACTTGGGAAAGGTTGCTGCATTTACATGCTTCTGAAATGGTCCCATTTCCTGAGCTGGGAAGTCATTCTTCCAACTTTGTTGTGTTACTGAGTTTTTAAAGGCCCAGACACAGAAAACGCAGTTTAGAGAACTAGCAGCGGCGAAGGCCCCCTGCTGCGTTGCCTGACATTGCCATGTCTTGGCCAAAAAGTTACACTTGAACACACTGCAAAGACTACAGACAACAGCCAACCAGCACACATGTTCTGTGCCTGCATGAGAGGAAATAACTTTCCACACCAGTAGATGGTGGTAATCTGTAATTGTCATTAACAGTAAAAAGGGAAACTGTAGGGCCACTCTTGACGCTAGTTAGCCAGCTAGCACATTAACAACACAATCCAATGCGTACAATGTACTGTGCGCTAGTGAACAAAAACACAAACCATCACGAAACGCTTCTGCTAAAGAGCACAACAGCTAAATAAAAATAATCTTACTTTATGGAACACGTGTGTTTTGGTCTCACTCCCTCTTGACTTCAGCTCTTTGTCTTAACCTCTCCTCATGCACTGGGCTGAACTGCCAAAGTTGTGTTATATTTTATTGGTCAGAGCATTTAAACAACACACTGATAACAGTTTGAAGCTTTATGTTTCAAAATGATTTTAATAAAAGTTTGCTTTTACATAACTTTTTTTAATAATCTAGTTGGACAGCAACCTAATATATTACAAATTACGTGTGGGCAAAAAATTGACACAATTTGTAAATCAAGAAGTTTATTACCATCAACCAAACGTTTACATTCATCCGCCATTTTTCTGCATATATAATGTTAACTCAGCAACGTGCACCAAAATTTTCAAACACTTTCTTGGTGTTGTTCCAACTTCAGGGGGCGTTCAGGTGAATTTTCTCTGTTGGGAGCTAATTTTTCCGATTATTCCGACAGCACATGAATGCAGGGTATGTGCCTGTACGTTTGAAAACACACTTTGTTTTATGCCATGCAGGTGAAGTAAAATACATTATTTTGTAAGATGTCACCCTGATGGCGATTCTAATATCTTTTAGTGTGTTTATGGGAATTCTTATTACGTGTTAGCGTCGAGCTAATGGACTAATTATTAATTTGAGTCTTGTAACTAGTAATTAAAGTTATCAAAAAAACAAAGCAAAATAGTGCAGTAAAAAGTACAATATTTTGTTCTGGGATGGTGTGAAGTCAAAGTATAAAGTTTCAGAAAATGGAATACTTAAGTAAATTACAAATACTTTAGATAAATTAGTTCCAGGGTACGTTTTTTCCCCATATTCTCATGCTCAAATCAATTGTAAATCCACATCTTAAAGCTGATGTTTTAACTTTATTCAGTTTGCATGCCTGAACTTAATGTCAGGGTAGCATTAGACAAATTCTGAGTTGGGTGTTCACATGTAGGTCAAATGCTTTGGGATCCCATTTTGTAGCACATATCCAAGTAGCACACTGTGATATCTAAATATGCAAAAGTCTCTAAGTAGTTAATCATCTTGTCCTCTATAAATCAATGCTTTTGCTGGAAAAAAAAATAATGTTACTTAGTGCTCCTCCTATAGAACTCCAAGCAAAGAAAATCTGCCTGTGAATCAGAGTTTCTGTGGGAGCAAATTGTGAAATGATAAATACCCAAAGAGACAGCGAGAGAGGAATGTGAGTGTGACTCTCAAGAAGGCTCTTACATAGTGTGTATAAAATCACTTGGTTGTTCATCACTGTCAGATTGTGTTGTCATCAGATACTGTATGTGTTACATACTGAAAATGGACATGAATTGTCTTTCAGAAAGAAAAAAAAAGAACAAAGTCAAAATTTACAATTAAGATTTAGACGTACGATGCATGTTTTTGTGTACACACTGATAACAAAATGTGAGGTAAAAAAAAA